TGTCACTTCTGGCAGTGACAGAAACCTGACAACGCAACAGCAGAAGTCATTTTATGAACTGGAGGATTTTGTGAACTAAACCCATATGACCCTAAAGTACTTTCAAAATTGGGTCATGAACTCGGAATTTGTGAAGAAAACCGTTAAAAAATCTGACAACATGGAACGTGGGAATTTGTGAAGAAAATCTAAGAAATCTGAAAATACGGCTTTAAAAATGTATTTGGTTTACATGAAAACCCCTAAAAGTTATTTTTAGTATATTCATATCCTGACCTCCCAAACAATGCGCAGGTGCCAACACAACCAAAACAAAAACGTTAACTAGGCTTTTTATAAACATGTCACTGTAAAAATGCTGCATAGGGTGCATTTATGGCGAACTAGAGCCTTTTTTAAAGTGCCAGGTGTGTGGCCTCCAGGGACAAAAGAGTTAAAGAGAATTTTGTGAATTAGAGAGATTTTGTGAACTAGAGAGAGGTTTTTCTGAATTTAGGGATTTTTGTGGTGGACTGGAGAAAGATTTGGAGGACTGAGGAGAGATTTTTTAAACATGCAGGAGATTTTTTTGTGCGGACTGGTGTTAGATTTGGACTGTCAGTTACACAAGTGATCTAGGAGATGGAAGATCACATTAGATGTTTGTACAGTTGTGAAGTGTGAAGGAAAGGGATAGCCGACCATGCTAGCTATATCATACAACAGACATCAATAATCATAACACAGTCACAAAAAATTAATTCATAAATGAATAAGTATTAAAAATCCTAAAAGCCCACAGGAAAAAAGGTGGTTTGACAATGATCTGACAATTGTGAACTATGTAATGTCTACATATAGCCAATACAAGCAAAACAAGTGAATATTTAATTATAAATATACCACATAAAAATAAAAACACTGATACAAACATAGACCCGTGGAGCTGTTTGCAAGAATGTGATGACAGAACTGATCTAGGCAGCCTGCAATATTAGCAGACAGTGTTGCCACTGGATGTTTTACATTCAGATTTAGATGTTTTTAGATATTTTTTGACTCCATTTTGGATGTTTTTTGTCAAAGAAAAGTGGCAACACTGTTAGCAGAACTACATTTAACCTTTAAACCACTTGCTCCTTGACCTGAAATATAGGCGCTGAAGACATATTTCTCGAGAGTGTAGTTCATCATCATCATCATGTCAAATTTTTCAGATCTGGAGACCTTATCAATATCAAAGAACCCAAGGTGTCTGTCGGGAGTCTTTTCAGTAACTTTCATCCCAACCATGCAAGGAACAATTGTGACTGCTCACAATCATTCAAATGTTGCACTCTGAGTATCCTGCCTTGCCAGCCACCTCTCACTCAGCCAGGGTGATGTCCTATTATATATGGGGGTCAACTTTTCCTGGGTCATCTATAAAGAAGTGGGTTATCCTGATACAACTTATTGGGTAATCCTGATATACCTCACTAGATAATCCCAATATACCTCTGGGTAATCTTGACATGTGCAACTGATACAAAGATACTCAGGACACCAAGAAACATCTCAAACTTTTGTCATCTTCTGGCTCTTCTTTGACCAACTTTCAACTTCCCATGGAACATAAACCCTTAACCAACTCAAACCAGACCCTTTGTTGGCTTCATCATGACTGGCTGGATTTTGCAGTTACAGTTCTCTACAGGATAAGGTGGCCAGTGTCGCACCAAGCCTCCCCACAAACCACTCACTATCTGTGTAGTAATATCTACATATATTCTCTTCATGTGGCTGTCAACACATTCACAAATCATCACTGTTGCCGCCAGTGTCCTGCTTTTCTACACATGCTACCACATGTCATTTTACATTCCTTCATTTCCCTTTCTACTGATATAACATGCTACCACATGTCATTTTATATTCCTTCATTTCCCTTTCTACTGATATAACATGCTACCACATGTCATTTTACATTCCTTCATTTCCCTTTCTACTGATATAACATGCTACCACATGTCATTTTACATTCCTTCATTTCCCTTTCTACTGATATAACATGCTACCACATGTCATTTTACATTCCTTCATTTCCCTTTCTACTGATATAACATGCTACCACATGTCATTTTATATTCCTTCATTTCCCTTTCTACTGATATAACATGCTACCACATGTCATTTTACATTCCTTCATTTCCCTTTCTACTGATATAACATGCTACCACATGTCATTTTACATTCCTTCATTTCCCTTTCCACTGATATAACATGCTACCACATGTCATTTTATATTCCTTCATTTCCCTTTCTACTGTTATAACATGCTACCACATGTCATTTTACATTCCTTCATTTCCCTTTCCACTGTCCTTGTCCAGGTTTCCTGAGGTCAATCAAATCTGCATTTTCCATGGGAAAGCTGTCCTTAACAATATAGCCTAGCATTCTGCAAAAATATCCAAGCCAATCTCCATCTTCTTCCACTGGTAACATTTGCCAGTGATGGACATTTTGTTTTCCTCCTCAGCTCTTCATTTATGACATTGTTTGGCCAAATTACCAACATAATTTTCCTTAGACATGTATTCTGTCTGAAAGCACGGTTAAGATAAAGTATTCATTCTTTGTCTCCTGCACAGCTCCGCAGCAACAGAAAGAAAAAACTCATAGACTGATCAACAGTTCATAAATAATAACTGAGAAACACAATTTTACAACTACATCTAATGAAATCAGTCACATATACAGATAAAATCCACAACAGATTTGCTTCCATCAGTACAGTCTACTCACATAAACGAATCACATTTTTATGATTTATTTTAAATTAGAACCAAGAAAAAAAATATATGTATGTATGCATGAAAATATCAAGAAGTGAACATATTACGTCTGATTTCAATATATGCAGTAAGTTTCTGTCAACATGAATGACCACAATACATTTATGTATGTCTCCAAGAGGTTGATATACAATAGAGAGATTGACACATATATAGACAGACTGAGAGATAATACATGCGTAGATGATGAAATAAAAGTGTGAAACCATAAGACAAACATTTCCCTATTGAAAACTTTGGTCAATCAGCATAGAACTGGCACTGTTAATCCCAGAACGTTGCTGTATTTGTTATAGGGGAAACTGAGCATCTACAATGTATCTGGAGTGCGTGAGGATAACTCCTCATAACTTATTTGCTAAATTGAAGCTTGTGAGGGTGACAAATGAGTCAGGCAGTTTCTGAGACGATGGTGAACTATTTTACACACACCTCAAGACAATGAAGTCCAAGTAGGCTCAGGTCCCAAGCTAGAGTACTTCACTGTGGTAAGGTCTACCCATGAACTCAGTCTGCCTATGCTCCAAGGATCTTCCTGTGTCTACTGAAATGTATAGATTCTGTAGCAGCCTTGCATCCTTACTGACTTCTAAGCTTAAAGAGGGAAGAGAGAGCTCTCCAACACAGCTGCTGCGTAGATGGTATTTCGGTACCATATTAGGGCTAGATGCAGCCTTTTTCATGACTCTCATGACCTGAATATCAACTCACACTCATGTCTTCTGAAAGCTTACAAATAAAAAAAACCAATTACTGATATTCGCTAAAACATTCACAGAGGATCAAAGAAATATAAAAAGGTAGGAGGTCAGACAATTCCAGGTACACTGTCCAATTTTAGCCGGGAAAGTACTAAGCTGACGGTCACCTTTCAAGTATACTGTTTGTCACAAGCTTTAAACATGCAAAGTAGACAAACCATTTTATTACAATAAAAATTGAGGTCATCTCCCTGAAGTCAGACTGCAACAGAAAGGTAGATATATCACAGGCACCACACACATACCAGACCATCCCCCATAAAAGGAACAAGACAGAAGAAGATGGATATTTCAACCTCTAGAACAATGCTAAAGAAATAAGGGTTGTAAATGTAACACAAATGTTTGTGATAGGTCAATGCTAACAAAATAACTATAACAAAATAACTATGATGGACAAAGCAATGCAATGAGCTGCTTTTCCATTAGAATATTCCTTAACATAGAAAACTCAGAAAATATAAAAAGTATGGCAGACACTTACACAGTAAAGGTGTGGCCCAGCAACAATAACAACAACAAAAGACAATTAAGAAAGGCCACCATGTATGCTCCTCCTGATGCTAAGTGAAACATTTTCCCATGTGGAAAAGCACAACAGAACACTGTATACTACAGACATGTTCTCTAAGTGCAGTAGGGAGACTCCAGGTCTGGCCAGTTAGTATTTAGATGGAAACCAGGCTGTACCGATCAGTGCATGCCATGCTTTGCACCACAGCCTTCATAAGAGGCCTGTGGCCTTCACAACTGAAAACAACTGTTAATGAGAATGACAAGAGGAGGATATCATGTGAGGATAACCTAAAGAAAAACAGACAACTAGAAACAAGTAAAATATAATAATAACTGTAAAAAAAGACAACATGATAGAATATTTGCTTGTAGTGCTCTCTACTGCTGCTATCTCATACTTATAGGAATCGGAGCTCAGTGTAAATGTGTTAACATAAATCTTACAAGATAATTAATGCTAAAACTCAGTTAAAAATAATCCTCAATAAACACTGAACATTCAGTCAATAAATGCTCTGATCCCTTCCCCACTACATCACGCAGCAAGCAGTGACTAATATCAGCTCTGTGTTGGTTTAATAATCTTCTATGAAGTCATTGTCAAGGTTGCAAGAAACGCTGACTGCAGATTACATTCAGAATAATAACCTTCTGCATGTCCTTAACTGCATTTCTCTTCTAATAAGATTCTTAAAATTACAACAAGACAACTGCCAGAACCTAACAATTCTATAGAGACAAGTAAGTCATTCCAAAAACAAACAAAATTTTTTTTTTGAAACCTGGCTACAAAAAGAAGCAGCTGATGACCCAGAGATGACAGACTACATCCGAGGTGGTGGCAAAACTTGTGATGGCAATAACGGTCACAGAATCATGTATCAAATTTCAGTTCTCCGTGTGGCAATCATCCATATCGGTCCTGCAAGAAAGCAAAGAAATGATAAATAATTCAAACAACCCTGGCATCTACGCTGTATTTTAGTTACTCTTTCTGCCCAGACCTTTATTCAACATTACTTACTTCCCAGACTCTCAAACAGCAAGCTCTCTGTAAAGTTGTTGATAATTGGCTGGAATTTACAGCTTCTTTTCTCTACAGGATGAGTTGACCAGTGCCATACCAACCCTCTTATATGTTTTTCACAAGCTTTGCTTGGTCCATGTGGAAGCAATGTTTCATCAAGTACCTTGCAGCAATAGCTGCAGCCAATGATGTCTCTCCACCCACTGGTGATCTAAATCCACTATGTGATATTCCTTCCGGACACCATGCAATATTCTTTCTCTCGCTCTACCTCTATTTTGTTTTGTCAATGATGTTTACAGTTGACATAATGTTGTTCAATGTCTCATTTCTAATCACATGACCAAAGAACAGTTTTCCTCTGTCTTATAGCTACATAACATTTACTATTATTATTTACATTCTCCAGAGAAGCACTGGCTACTCTGTCTAAGGTTTTACAACATTGTCTAGACAAGAGCTAGTTCCCCTGTCTAAGGTATTCACAACATTCTCTAGACCAGACCTAGCTTTCTGTCCAAGGTATCTGCAACATTCTCTAGACAAGACCTAGCTATCTGTCCAAGGTATCTGCAACATTCTCTAGACAAAACCTAGCTATCTGTCCAAGATATCTGCAACATTGTCTAGACAAGAGTTAGCTATCTGTCCAAGATATCTGCAACAATGTCTAGACAAGAGCTAGCTATGTGTCCAAGGTATCTGCAACATTGTCTAGACAAGAGCTAGCTATGTGTCCAAGGTATCTGCAACATTGTCTAGACAAGAGCTAGCTATCTGTCCAAGGTATCTGCAACATTGGCTAGACAAGACCTAGCTATCTGTCCAAGATATCTGCAACATTGTCTAGACAAGACCTAGCTATCTGTCCAAGATATCTGCAACATTGGCTAGACAAGACCTAGCTATCTGTCCAAGGTATCTGCAACATTGGCTAGACAAGACCTAGCTATCTGTCCAAGATATCTGCAACATTGTTTAGACAAGAGCTAGCTATCTGTCCAAGGTATCTGCAACATTGGCTAGACAAGACCTAGCTATCTGTCCAAGGTATCTGCAACATTATCTAGACAAGAGCTAGCTATCTGTCCAAGGTATCTGCAACATTGTCTAGACAAGAGCTAGCTATCTGTCCAAGGTATCTGCAACATTGGCTAGACAAGACCTAGCTATCTGTCCAACGTATCTGCAATATTCTGTAGACAACAGCTAGCTATCTGTCTAGGGTATCTGCAACATTGTCTAGACAAGAGCTAGCTATCTGCCCAACGTATCTGCAACATTATCTAAACAAGAGCTAGGTACCTGTCCAAGGTATTTGCAACATTCTTTAGACAAGAGCTAGTTCCTCTGTCAAAAGTATTTACAACATTCTCTAGATAAGCATTAGTTCCCCTGTAAAAGGTATTTGAAAACATTCTAGTAACTTGTCAATATCGACATCATAGCCCCATCAGCCCAATTCATTTATGCTTAGTTTTCCAATGCAACAGCTATCGCAGTGTCTCCATGCTCAACATATCCAGTAAGAGCTGATTTGTATATCTTCTTTCTTAGCCTTGCAACCAGCTTATGCATGTTTGTTCTCACTTAATACCTTTTCGTCTATATTAGCTGGATTTTCTTCCCATGGTCCTTTAAAGAAAATGTTCTATTGACACAGTGACCTGATTGGAATTCTAAACCTCATCGGCATTCTAAACGCTAAATGCATATTAGGATATAAAAATATGCATTGAATAACCATTTTGTTCACACAAAATCCCACCTAAATTCTATTTTTTAGTAAACATATTCAAATTAACACCTCTTAAATGCTGCACAGGTGCAAATACAACTAATGGTGTATAGACTTCTTGGGGACAGGCCATCGCAGAAAGGCCAGGTGAGGGGCATCTACAGGACTGAGCCACTGACAGATGTGCTTGATTTGCAGCTTCTCAGGGCAAAAGGTAATATTAGAACTCCTGTGTTTGCGCCCACAAGGGTGGCTGGCCCAATGTGCTGTGTCTACAATATCTGTACGTTTTGGCCCAACACATTTGATTTCAGCAAACCCTAATTAATCACCATTTAATAATTTAATGCTTATTGGGGGTGAAAAAGGAGGGGGGGGGGGCATTACCCCCATCTTCATCATGGGGTCCTGGAACCAACACTGGGGATATATCAGAACAAATACAATGTAACAGTTGAGTGCCCTCTCTCTGACACGAAATCCCTGGTTTTTCCTGCCACTATGAGCTCCACCGAGAGACCAGATTTGTGTTAAACAACATGATCAAATAAAATATACAACTATAAATGTCCACCAAACCATCATTCACTATGTGGATGCCGTATATAAATGAACCACCACCAAAAAAAATCAGAAACAGTTTTACAAGACAGGAAATCAACCACAAACAAAACTGATCTGATGCTAAAAAATGAAAATAGTGAGAGAAGCTTCCAGGCTGACTGTGGAGAAGTTGCAGCTGTTCTCAAAGTGGAAAATGATTTGCTTCTGATCCTTTACATGGGGATCACTACTTGGTGTGACTGACCCCAGCATGAATAGCTGTCACAAAAGTAGTGCCCTTCTGAGACTTCTTACTTGACTCATACACTTGATGGAGTGACATGCAGAAATAACAACACAGGACCTTCATTCATTTATGAATTTTCTTTAGGTTTCACTCTTTCACTGATTTTTTAAAAAAAAAAACATAACAGAAGGCTGCTCATCTTTGGTGCATGTCAAAAGTGGAGTGGCCATCTTCAAACTGTCATGATGATATCAGTGTCAGCCTGCACCATGATGTTATTTCCTTAACACTCTTGACATCCTTTAAATACTGATAGGCTCTAAGACAATGGCATGGCTAATGTAATTTCTATCACACTTTTAAGGTTTTCATTTGAAGCCGCCCACGCCCGCCCGCACACACACACACACACACACACACACACACACACACACACACACACACACACACACACACACACACACACACACACACACACACACACACACACACACACACACAATAACTCACCATCCAAAAAATTCTAGTCAAAAAATTATAGTTCTAAGCATCCACCAACTCAGCAGCTTCTGACTCTTTTCTTTATTTACAGCCATCACATCACACAAAGCCACATATAAACCCCCTCCTCACCGAAAAATCCTTAAACATAAAAAAAAAAAATGGATGATTAACTAGAATCGATTTCTCAGCACTCAGCACACATTCAAATGCCTCAGTCTCCCTCGGCAGATGGAGTATAGGGATGCAGACAGTTCCTGAGTGCACTGTCCATTAATTTTCTGTGGCAACCTGGTGATCTATTCCTACAAAAAGTGACGTCATGACACATAAATAATATGATGGTACCGATGAGGGATGGAAAATCACGACATCCCAAGACAAGCGTTGTGGAAATAAGACAATAACAATGATAAATAGTAGATGTTCTTTGATAAAATGTGTTTATGTTACATACTCACCCACATGTTCATTTATCAGTGTGTGCTGGATGAAAGTATGTGTGTATGTGAGCTGACTGAAAGAGCAGAGTATATAGGGGTTGAATGAGAGAAGGTATATGTTCAAAGCTGATCAGTTTGTGTATATATCTGTGTGTGTGTGTGTGTGTGCGCACATGCATGTGTGTTTGATGTAAATGTGTATAGATGTGTCAGCAAGACATGAGTACAAATGTATGTTTGTGTGTGAGAGAGAGAAAGTATGTGTATTATGTACAAACAAGTGTGTGTTCGTACATGCAAGTGCCCATATGCATACGTGTATGTGTATGCCTGATTTCCAGTGTGTTTATGCATGTGGTAAATGATAAATGTATGTGAATTAGACGAGTGTAATGCTGTTTATGTCCTTAAGGAAGAAAACTGGGACATTTCGAGCAGAAATGCTATAGAGAAAGATTCTAAGAACATCATGGACAAAAGCGAAAAGAAAAAGAAAATTCTAAAAGATCTAAACATCGAGGAAGGCTGGCTAATAAACAGCATTTTGTCTCAGACGCTGAATTATTTTGGTCATATCAGGCGCCACGGCGCACTGGAAAAAATAATAGCAAAAGGCATGATACCTAGAAGGAGGTTGACAAGCCTGGAGACAGGCACAGGATATGTGACTTCCTGGGGATTAAAGTACATGAGGCAGGAAAGAGCTGGCGAGAGACTGAGTTTCTTTTCTTTTTGGCAGAGTGGGATGAGAGTGACGTTCTGCAAAAGATTAGCTACAAGATGATGACAATGATGCTGTGTCTGTGGGTTTCTAATAAGAGGTACCGTCTGACAAGTGAATGGTATGTATAATAACAAAATATATATCCACAAATGAATGTGTTGCTCTACATTATGTATGCAATTTACGCATACGATGCCATTGTGTGGCAAGTATATTTGTGTTCATATAAATTTATTCCATGACATCAATTTAACAGTACAAACCCCAGCATATCTTGTTCTTATTTCCACAAAAACCAGCTGAACGAATAACATAAAAGGGGGGAGGGAGTAAATAATAAAAATCCGAAGCAACCCTGACACAAAGAGGCACAGAGCTAGCACATTCAACAGTGACAAAAATCATCGTTTACCTTACTACAACTAAAGATTCATGATGGCATGTTATTTACGCTGTAATATAAATACAATAAACATCTGTAACAAATGTCTTTAATCTGTTACAACTACATAAATTAATATTAACTGTCACAGGCAATGCATCCTGGGTAATCAGCCATGTGTGCCAAGCAAAGCAATTTGTGTTGATTTTACGATTGGTTTAACTATACTACAAAAATCTGGCGCGATATATTTAATCATGCAGCACCATATGTTCTATCATTGAAGGTAATACATAAAAGGTTCTTTCATTATTACTGCTCTCCTTCTTTTAGTATTTACTGCAAATGTTCCTCATAAATAGTACATATATTTACGTACAGTTCTTTCATTGTTGTTGTTGTTCTCCTTTGGTATCTATTGTAATATGCTCCCAACAAACAGTGATTAGTGATGATTATCTTCACAGCACTCCTGACAGGTCCACATGCTCTGATCGCCTCCTCAAAAGCTCCACAAGCATAAAATGAGTGATGACATCTGTTGTGTACTGATTAATTAAACGTCTTGTCCCCTTGGTGAAATGTTCATTTCTTGCGGCTGCAGATTTCATCCCCACGTCCACCATCTAGACAGGGTATAGAGTAATGCCCTCTGTTACATTCTTTTTTGCAATACATGCTATGCACTGATAGCGTTGCTTCTGTCCAATACAGGGTAAGCCATAGCAACTGCAGTATTTGCACACTCTTTGCCTCGAACACCAGCAGCACCTTGCACGAAGATAAAGCTTAGGCCAGCCATTCGTGAAGGGTTTAAGTGACCGAATCCATTCATGTCTGATTCAATCCAGCCTGAATTTTCTTAAGCATAATCACTGAGTCACTAAGTATGCATGTGTGTGTGAACTCTTGAGTATCCAGCCATTCTAGTGCTCTCACAAATAATTTCTGATTACCATTAACGTGTCATCTGGGTTATCACTGTTTGTAATTTTACAGAATCACCAGCAATCTGAGAATCAAAGCAATCCTCTTATCTTTTTGCTTCTTTTTGTAGAAGTGACAAGGTGATTTTTCACAGACTTGAATGTTTCATCAGCTGTCCTTTGCCTGGGTGACCTGTTGCTCTGTTTCTGTTTTATCTAAGCATTAGAAGGTTTTATATATATCCATAAGCTAGACAATTCCACAAACTAGATACATTCACACTGTGGACATGCTCATAAACCAAACATCCATAAACTAGACACTTCCTCAAACAAGACATTTCTGCAAAATAGACACATCAACAAACTGGACACATCTATAAACTAAACATGGACCTAAATGAGAAAACACACAAATAGACACTTCCTCAAACTAGATACATCCACAAAATGGACACAGTCATAAACTAAACAAGAAACATTCACAAATTAAACACAATTCACAAACCAGGCAGGGCTGTAAACTAGGCACATTCCCAAATTAGACACACTCACAAACTATACACATCCACAAATTAGAAATGATCATAAACTACAAATCATACAAACTAGTCTTATCCACAGGACATATCTACCATCTGGACATGCTACAAATTGGACACATCCACAAGCAAGGCATACCCACAAACCAGACACACTGACAAACTAGAAACAGCTGCAAACTAGACACAACTTCCAGCTAGACACCTCCAACTAGACACATCGACAAACTAAACATGCCTAGAAATTATACAAGTCTACAAACTGCTCTGTTGAAAACTTATTGGTGCTGCCTTTGCCTTGGAGTAAACAAATCAGGCTGAGAGAGGCAACATGCTGCATGAGCTATACATGGTCTCTACAATACTCCTCAGGTTTTTGAAATGAAAAGCAGCAACTTCATCTATGGCCAGAACCGGTCTCAGAATCAGAAAGGAGCAGTATAGCAGTAAGTATAAAGGTGATAATTCTTTGCCAGTTGACATCACATACACTTATTGTAAAACATATTTTTTATAAACCAAAAAGTGTCTTGATAATTGTATATGTAACTGCCATGGCTTCCCTCTCTCTCTCTCTCTCTCTCCCTCCCTTTCTCTTTCTCAGCATGATGTAGTTCTATTATTCAAAATCACATGGAAATGTGCCATTAACAATCACCATAAACTGGTCATCATAAGTAAATGGCAGCCATAGCTGTTACTGTATTATAACCTACCTGTTTAAAAAAAAACATAACAATGGACTAAAACAACCCTACCTGTAAAGTAGACATAACGCCATTTGCCAAACTGGATATTTTGCCAGCCACTTTTGTAACACCCTGTTTGACCCCGTCCTTGATGTCCTGGAAGTCTGGTCCTGTGGAGCTGTAGTTTTGTTTCCGGGATTTCTGTCCACCTCCAAAAAAGTCATCACTGGATATTGAAGTGTTACCTTCCAGTCTGCTGAGGTTCTGTTTGGTTTCAAACTAAGAAGGATCAAGAATGACAGCATCAGTTCTAACTGCTTGACCCAAAACGTAGGATTTCAATTAAAATTGGGAACTTGACGTACAATTTTAGACTTCATCTTCATTTAAAACATAGACAAATCTGCTTTGCCTTTGAAATGTATCAGCCATTTCATTTCCAGATACCTGGCAATGAGACAGGATCCACTCTACTTTAACACTGCTGTGTCAAGAGATAAAAGTCAAATGTTCTAACCCCCTGACTACCACAACCGCATGATGGCGACTGATCGAGGGTTTTGCTGGCTACTGATTGTGGTCGTAACTTTGGATGCTCGCCGCCATGTTAAAATCGCAACCTTTGCGATAAATGTTTTTTTTTAATTGCGAGCACCCACCAATGTTGATGACGTGTTAAGTAGATGTTTGATGATGGTGGCTGCTGATCATAAGATCTGCATGGTGGCACAGTCTAGTTAAAATTTATGATGCTAATTTAAATCAGAAAGTGAAGGTGACAATATTTCTGAACAGTCTGATTACTGTGACTTTAATCATTTTTACAAACTGCCATCAAAAACACTGTCGAAACTGATGACTGCTGTTGCAGTCGGAGTCTGAGAAGGTAAGTACATTTGTTCATGTAGACTGTATCATGTATGTGCTACAGGTATGTATTTGTTAGATGTGTCTGTTAGCAGAGACAGTGTACATTACGGCTCTGTGACTTTTAGTTTAGCGAAAATAGTTTCACAATGCAATCCTCAATGTTTGTGACAAGGTGCGATTCCTGCAATGGGCGATTCTGCTGGTTAAAGAAATTATAGTTTTTGTGGCATTCCGAGTTAGACAATTCAGTTTTACTGCATTAGAAATTCTTGATTAAACTGAAAAATAGCCACTGAATTTGCAGAATTTTATTTCAGTTAGCCACTTAGGAAGAGCTCTCCTCCAGGATTATTTCAGTTTAAATTGGTGTCAGACAGACAATTTTTCAAGTGCCTTTTTTTTTTTTCTTCAATCTATCCACATAATGATGTAAAACAAGATTATTAAATTTTTACTCTTGAAATTTGTTCTCCGTTCAATTTGGAACAAAAATACAAAATATTACGAGCTTATGTTAAATAGTTGTAAAGCCAAGGCATTTTTAGCAAACACTAGAAATGTGCAAGGGTTAACGGGCTTGGTAAGCAGTGGTTCATTGCAGGCCAGGACACATACACTTATTGTCCTACAACACACTCCACCTCCCTCCAGTGATACAGTCCCAGTTCTAACACAGACCAAGACACACACACATCATTTTCCTACAACACCCCAACCCTCCTCCAGTGATACAGTCCCAGTTTTACCACAGACCAGGACACACACACATCATTTTCCTACAACACCCCAACCCTCCTCCAGTGATACAGTCCCAGTTCTAATACAGACCAGGACACACGCACATCATCGTCCTTCAACACCCTCCACTCCCATCAAGTGATAGTCCCAGTTCTAATACAGACCAGGACACACACACATCATTGTCCTTCAGCACCCTCCACTCCCATCAAGTGATACAGTCCCAGTTCTAACACAGACCAGGACACACACACATCATTGTCCTACTACACCCCCTCCCCACCCCCCCCCCTTCTAGTGATACAGTCCCAGTTCTAACAGAGACCAGGACACACACACATATCATTGTCCTACTACACCCCCCACTCCCTTCAGTGATACAGTCCAAGTTCTAACACAGACCAGGACACACACACATATCATTGTCCTACTACACCCCCCCCCCCCCCCTTCCAGTGATACAGTCCCAGTTCTAACACAGACCAGGACACACACACACATCATTGTCCTACAACACCCTCCACCCCCCTCCAGTGATACAGTCTCAGTTCTAACACAGACCAGGACACACACACATCATTGTTCTACTACACCCTCCACCCCTCTCCAGTGATACAGTCCCAGTTCTAACACAGACAAGGACACACACACATCATTGTTCTACTACACCCTCCACCCCTCTCCAGTGAGACAGTCCCAGCTCTAATACAGACCATGACACACACACTAACACACACACATGCATGCACAGCCATTGTCCTACAACACCCTGTCTAGTCATACAGTCATGATTCTAACACAAGCCAGAATACACACACATTCACTCACATCATTGTCTCGGTTGCCAAAGTACTGGTCAGAAGAGATAGCTTTAGCACTGCCAAATTTCTTCTGTGCTGCATCGCCACTATCAGCAGCCACCGAAGTGTTGGCTTCAGTGTTCTTGCGACTGCGACTTGACCTGTGTGGAAAAATGAAATTCTTGATCTAACCTATATTTTAAAATGTTTTTATTCATTTAAGTTCAACCATATAAAGCTAATCTTCATTCTTTTGTTGTCACACTGTTACTAGGTTGTAGCCATGTGTCAAGGACAAAAATATTGTTTTTAAAATAGGTTTTAGTTTACACTGAAAAATGTTTTTACTCTTAGACAACTGTAACATTTATTTTCCTCATAATAAATGTCTAAGGAAAATCCTGTGAATATTTTGGCCAAACAGTATCGCAAATGAATTACTGGTAAAGATAAAATAGGCCTGCTCTTTATCTCCAAATGGTTAGAAATTTTTAACCTGGGCAATGCACATACCAGTCTTCAAAGTTTTGTCCTTGTCTGTGAAGGCCTGATGTCCAGGTCCTCTACCCTAGGATCCAGGAAGAGTACACCATCCACTGATCTTTGTAACACTCCCAGCTATCAACACTGAGAGATAGACCAGATCTGCTTGAGTTTAACTACTGATATCCTCCATCCCCAAACATACAGTATCTTTGTCTGCCCTCCCTTAATCTCCTAATATACCACAGGCCCTCATCTAACTCAAATCAGCCATTTTTCACCTTAATCTCAAACTACCTTCTCCACGGACATTTTTTGGGTGCGTCTACTTTTATTCCTCTGACCATGTGGGATACAGTATATAAGCAGTTTCTTTGCTGCATATTATTCCCTTAAACAAGTTGCCTATTTATTGGACAGGCTTTGAAGTTCCCTATGTCTTAAATGGTAACCTGAATCTGTTGACTACTGCCTGCTTCAGTGATTGCTTCCATAGCCTCTTCACTGCTTGCCAGGAATCACTGTAGTGTGTCAGCATAGCCAACATATGCAGCACAATTGAAAGAGCACAGAGACAGAAGATCCCCACCCCCCCCCCCCCCCCCCCCCCCCCCCCCACTGAGGAGATAACTGGTGGAAAAGAAGAGGAAGAAAAATAGCTTACTGGTATTATCTATGTATATCATTTATTTGTTATTAGAGAAGCCAAGAATAGTATCACTACAAGTACCATTGCTATTGTTAGCGGTTCTTCGTGTGGGTTTAAACAACCCAAACTCTGCCAGAGTTTACAGCTGGTGGATGCAAATAAGGAGAGCAGATGCAAGAGGTGACTTAGAGGGGTTGGCATAAGACTTGCTGCTTCTTCATCCTTTAGAAAACAGCCTGCCAAATCCGATCAGTCTTCTTCAGCTATGTTCACTGTAAAAAGGGCAGTTGCCATGCTGTGTTGTAGTTTACAACTAAACTAGCGAGCATCATCAATATTTCCATTTCAGAAAACCTTTAGTCACTTTTTATAACTTACTTTTCCTCCACCCATAAGGGCTCCAAAACCCACACAGTAACAACTATTTTCTTAAATAATCCCACAAAGAGCTTGCTTGGCCTGAACCAGCGGAGGGTCTATGTTCCACCAGAAGATGAAATCAGAAGAAGAAAACTGCCAAAAAAAGCAACTGTAAATTATGGCTTTTGTTTATACCACTTTTTCGGTGTAGGCAGGGGATCTCTGAGCCTGCACCACTAGCCGCGTGGCTAGTGCTGTCGCCATGACTGTGCAGGTGAGGATTTTTATTTTACCCTCAACAGAAAAAATCCCCAGCCTTACCAATGATTTTAACCTGGGTCACACACTAGATTTTTTTTTATTTCAACAGCTTACTTGCCAGTGTTTTTAAGCTGATATGGTGAAAAATTGCGCCAATTTTATGTCTTTTTTTTTAAATTACCCCTTGGGCTTGTGAAGCTATAAACCCACTGGGACTAAATTAGAATTTTGCAGAGGTACCTAAATAGACAAAACTAACATCTAAATGTAAACAGTGTGTATCAAAAGTTAGATGTTTCTATTTAATATAAACATTAACCAGATATGCCAAAAGTCAGATTCCTCTCTTTAATTAGAAAATCAACCAAACGTCAGTCAGATTCTCTCTTTTATATAAACAATATTTTCTCTCTTAAAATATAAAACAAAAGTGTTCTATATCTGGTTCATCCTGTGTGTGATTATGATTGTATGATTGTATGATTGTATGCATTTTTTGGATATGAGTATAAATGTGTGTGTGTGCGTGCATGTTTGATAATGACACAATAAAAACAGCATGCAGGTTAGTCTGGCCCACTTATAAATCACCAGGAAAGGTTACCAAATTTTTTTTTTTTTTTTAACTTCAAAAGCAAAGACTTTATGACACACATCCACACATGAAAGTGACATTCAACAGAAGGTGACAAACATTTGACTTTTGAAGAGCCTAATCAAAGATGTTTTATATTTCTTGGATTATGAAGTTAACCTCCACACGGTAGTGATTTGTTGTTACAAGATTCCCTGTGTGAGCTCTTGCGGTCAAATTTTTTTTTTGGGGGGGGAAGGAGAGGGGGGAGAGAGAAACCATTACCCCTTAACAGGAATGTCATACAACAAAAAAAAAGGTGACCAATTACAGGTTTGGATATGAAACAAGCAAAGTCTTAAATGACTTTAATGAGAAAAATTGCTGTGCTCTCATAGAATATACAGGGCAGATGTTGGACATTAGTAGGCATACTTGTAAGGAGCATTCATCAGAATGCTGTTCATGTTGCACCAAGCGTAACTATGTTACAGTCACATGATAAGTATGATGAATAAAAATGCCAATGAATAAAAAAACCATGTACAACCCCATGATACATACGCTGTTTTTTGACCATTGAGAAAATGGCAGGGTTACTTCAAAATCTGTCTAAAGAAGCTCAAATAATGGTGATTCCGTTTCTTTTATTTGAAAGAAGTTGACCAGTAGACATTCATCGAAGAATGCTGGCAATGTACAGAAACAAATATGTGTCAAAAGACAGCAGTGGCAGACTTTTGCACGAATATTTAGGAAAGAATGTGCATTCCAACAGACCTTCCATTTAGTTAAGGAAAGCGCATGAAATGCTGGATCACCAAAAGCAAAGAAATACAAGTTACAGATTTCCACTGGTATGGTTATGCTGAGCCCATTTTTTTCCCTTAAAGGGCTATCTATAGTTGGCAGACTTTAAAGAACCTGGTGTCAACATCAACTATAGCCACTACTTGGAAACTAATGCTATACTAAAGCCATTGAGAATAAATATCTCAGCAGCATGCTTTCTCACTGTGTGGTTTTGTTGCAAAGACTGTGCAGGAAGCATTAGCACAGAAGAAGTGGGAAATTCTGTAAAAACCAGCCTAAAGTCCTGATGTGTCACATGTGTTTTTCATTTGTTAGGACCTCTAGAGAAAGCTCTCAAGGGGCAGAGATTTCGCACAGATACAGGTGCAATGAAAGCGGCAAACATTTGGTTCAGTGAACAACCACAATAGTTTTCCGCAGACAGCATTCACCACCTACCTAATCAATGGGATGTCTACGACTTTTTCTGACCAACCCATGATGAATAATACATTCAAACTCAATTCTCTTTACTTCTGTCACATCTGTTGATGTTTTTTTCATGCTTTTGTTATAAAGCAATTGGAGCAGGTTTCCAAAGAACGCTCCTTATATAAAGAAACTTGCCCAATAAATTAGGCAAATTCCGTATCCTGTTAATTAAAGTTAACAAACAACAAATAAAGACGCCTGCATTAACAGAGTTAGCCAATTAAACTAGATTGTTAAAATACATTACATTGATAATTCATTACAAAAATTAACCTTTTACAAATATATCTGATTATTTAAAAATGAGCCAACAGGATACAGATTATTACTACAAGGCAATGAAATGTGAAGGTTCAAATTATACAAACTGCCACAGAGATAAAAAGAAATATTAAAAACTAAAGAGATCCATTAATAAGCTAGCTGTATTTCCTTTATAGGACATTGCAGAGCCAACCCTAGCATTTTTTGGCTGTTGTGGTTTTTCTAGGCAAATTTTACATTCGATAGTTTGCTATTAAGCTGATTAATTTAAGTGAAAGAAGAGCATGTCAATTAGTTTTTTTATTATTATTTTTTGCCAACTATTTAATAAATATATAAGAAGGCTTAACTGCAGGGACACATTGGAAAAAGAATAACATTAGAAAATAGAAAAACTTAAATTAATTAACTTCATTACGACATTAAATGAAATGGGGATGTTCCAGCATAACAGGTTTGACAACAAGAAGCTCTTAAAATGTAAGGGATAAAAATACAGCAACGTCAGCTACAACAGGAGCTCAATGATCTGTAAACAGGTTACACAAAAAAAATGGGTGGTGCTAAAACAAACAAATATAAAGCTAACTGCCAGGAATGATCTCTAGAAACACAAACCAGAAACACATGATTGCGGTGAACATTTTATTCAACATCCACTTTTTCACATGTAACAAATAATGAACAAAGAATGTATGCTTCAAAAAAAAAAAAGATGATAAAAGCCATAAGCGACACAGGGACAACCAAAAGACAGTCAATCAACTACACTACAAAGACATTTTTTTTTTATCCCGCCTAAGGAGCAGAAATGGGTTAACCTGGGGAATTAGAATTAACAGCAGACAAGATCGGGAAATCAAAATTCCAATCCTGTTTGATTAGTGCCAGCTCACAGCCACACTGTTAAAGGTATATGACAAAGTATCTAAAGTTACCTGTGATGTCCATCTGTGCTTTATCTATGGTTGCATGTGATGTCTGTCTGTACTGTTTCTAAAGTTGCCTATGATGTCCATCTGTGCTTTATCTATGGTTGCATGTGATGTCTGTCTGTACTGTTTCTAAAGTTACCTGTGATGTCCATCTGTGCTTTATCTATGGTTGCATGTGATGTCAGTCTGCTGTTTCTAAAGTTACCTGTGATGTCCATCTGTGCTTTATCTATGGTTGCATGTGATGTCTGTCTGTTGTTTCTAAAGTTACCTGTGATGTCCATCTGTGCTTTATCTAAAACTGCATGTGATGTTCATCTGTGCTATATCTAAAGTTTACATGCAATGTCTGACTGTGCTATATCTAAAACTGCAGGTGATTTTCATCTGTGCTATATATAAAATTTGCATGCAGTCTGTCTGTGCTGCATCTAAAACTGCATGTGATGTTCATCTGTACTATATCTAAAGTTTACATGCTATGTCTGTGCTATATCTAAAGTTTGCAAGTGATTCTGTCTGTGCTTTACTTTGGGTTGCATGTGCTGTCTGTGCTGTATCTAAAGTTTGCATGCGATTCTTTATGTGCTATATCTAAGGTTGCATGTGATGTCTGCTACATCTAAAGTTTACATGTGATGTCTGTGTTCCTCCTCCTCCACCAGCTGTAAATCCCCAGGGAAAGTTCTGGTTGTTTGTCCACTTCTGGTCTTTAGTCTTGATCAAGAACTTGAGCTTTGTGGGCACATCCATTTTACAGATCTGCTTATTTGTATGCAGATTGTGGGGTCCTTGTCTCTCAGGCAGATGCGCTTTGACATTGAAGGAAACACCTTTAATTAGTCAAACTTTTACAACATGCTTGTTGGGACTGGGGAGGGGGTGGTGGGTCCATCTCTCCCCTATCAAAATGGGACCCCAGAAGCAACATGAGAAATATATGTCTGTGCTACATCTAAAGTTGGATGTGATGCACTATGTCTGTGCTACATCTAAAGTTGGATGTGATGCACTATGTCTGGGCTACATGAAATGTAACATATGAAGTGCTGTGTATGTGCTACATATATGATGATGCATTGTGTCTGTGCTACGTCTAATGCAACATGTGCTGTCTATGCTACATTTAATGTAACATGTGCTGCATGTGCTTTATAAAATGTAACATGATACTTGTCTATTTTCAATGTAACATGTGCTGTCTGTGCTTCATAAAATGTAACACGATGGATGTCTACATAAAATGTAACATGTGTCTGTGCTACATAAAATATGTGTCTGCTTTCAGCTTCACATAAATGATACTACATTTAAAAAAAAAAAAAGCTGGAATCAGTGAACAAGTTTGCCAGTTAACAACCACCATATACATAGCTCCCACTGATTATTTACCAGGCAGATCTATTGCCATCATCATCGTCATCTGCATTTTCTTTGTCATCATTGTTGCTGAAGCATGCAAGTAGAAGGACATTTTCACACACGACACAAATGCACTAAATAAATGCTTTGTGCAAGCAACAGTAGGAAGCATGCACCAAATCAGTTTACATAATGACTGCAAAAGTATTCACTGAATAATCAGGACAATTATCTAAAAAAGGTGAATTCTAAATAACTATTTAACACTCATTTTAAATTTTTTAATGAAGTCCTTTCTCTTCTTTCCTTGGATAGTGAAGTACTTTCAGATCTTTCCTTTTCTACCCTGGACTATAAAAGTACTTTCAAGTCTTGTCTAATCTTTCCTCTCCTACTCTGTATTGTAGAGATACTTCTGGTTTCGTTTAAACTTTCTCCCTCATTACAAGGCGTACATAATTACTTTACAACCATATTTACTGCATGCCCTTATACGCTACAGCTAAGGAGCAGATATGCTACACAGAGTGGCTGCAGCATTACTCTATACATAGTGTGCAGATATACTACATATCAGGGCTGCAGCTATACGCTACACATAGGATGCAGATATACTACACATCAGGGCTGCAGCTATACTTTACACATATGATGCAGATATACTACACATCAGGGCTGCAGCTATACGCTACACATAGGATGCAGATATACTACATATCAGGGCTGCAGCTATACTTGACCTAGGGTGCAGATATACTACACATCTAGGCTGCAGCTATACTCTACACATAGTGTGCAGATATACTACACATCTAGGCTGCTGATATATTCTACACATAAGGTGCAGATATACTACATATCAAGGCTGCACATATACTCTACACTTAGGCTGCAGAGGCATAGAGGGACAGTGTCTACCTAGTGCCGAAGAGAACTAGACAAAGCATGGATATCATTTTTTTTACTACAAAACAGATAACTTGTAGATTCTAGGGCAGTGAACTGAACGAACAGCCTTCACAGATAAAGCTAAAAACAAAATAGATTCTTTGTGCACACCACCCACACGAAAGACCCTTTAAGAGATAAAAAAACTAAAGAGCAGACAATATTCTGTGTTGAAAACTACCCTAAATATAATAATTATATAACTGTTAAATTATATTGCAGGGAAAGACAAGAGAAAACTATAACACTTATTCTCACAATCCAGTTTATTTATTTATTTTAGATCCATTATGAGAAGACAAGTTTTTTTTTTTTAATTGTTGTATTAATTTTAATAAGTCATAGCACCGACTAGTCTGACATAAAAGTATACTCTTTACCATCATTGTCTCATTGAAATGACAATTAAACTACTCCTTATCATTAGAGAACATAATATTTACTGTAAAAGTAATTATACCAAATAAAGTAACATATGCGGTCAATCTAGTATTCATATTTTTTTTTTAAAGAAACAAAACAGAACAATACATTTAAACATTTTAAATCAGTCAAAACATGGAGCTTGTTAATGTAACTCACTTTGACTCTACAGCTGTTATATAAAAGTCTCAAAGGAGATTTCAAAAACTCTGATAAGGGAAGTTAATGAAACCGCTGCCCGGAGCTGCAGTGAAGGTTGGATAAAAGGAGCTTTGAAAATATATGGGATGCAACCAGCTTTGGAAATGTCTGGGACAAAAACAGCTTTGGAAATATCATGGTGAAAGGAGTTCTGGAAACACCAATGATGAAATGAGTTTTTGAAATATGAGGGATGAAAGGACCTTTAAAAATGTCTGGGTTGAAAGTAACTGGAAATGTCTTGAATGTAAGGAGCTTTGTGGCAGGAGAAGTTGAAGTAACTTTAGAACAAGAACTATGGAGTAATAGCTAGGATATAGGAGATACAACCGCTGCCTAAAGCAACAGGAGTACAGAAAATGCAACCAAAACCAAAATGTGCTCAGGAGCAGACAATAAAATAACTAGCTGTTGTCACCATCTACCTGTCTTGGTCCCTGGATGAGAATGTCTCCGTAGTACTAGTCTTGTCCACGTCCCAGCCTCCAGTTTTGTTCTTGCTGCCCCAGCTGTTGCCCCGCTCTTCGACCTTGGACCCAAAAGAGTCTTCTTCATTTCGCCTGAAGGACAAGACAAGAGCTGTATGTGTACCAGAACCCCACAAGCTATAATACATTTGTGTGTAGGTTCTCTCATGTGCAAACTTTAGGTTTAGGTTTTAAAAACGGATCAACATTACGGCACCAGGTAGCAGCCCATAAGGGCTCGGTTCTACTTCTCACTCAAGTCTGAAGAATCTCCGCGAAGTGCACGAATTCTGTAGCACAGACGAGGCTCCTGACATACTCTAGGTAGATATTTTTACACAAAATTTTGCCCAGGCAGCGCCGTTAGGCTAATCTTTTTCGATTTCCAACTGCCAAGGGATTTTTTTTACATGCAACAATACAAAATGGCGTCCAATCTTACTACAGAGACTAGACAAAATTACTAGAAGTCCACGTGAAATAAAACACCAGTTTTCGCCGGGAACTGAACTTGGGACTTCAAACATTTAGGGTGCCATGCCTCGAGACCACTAAAAGTAAAAAGGACCCTCTTCCACACCTTTAGGCGTATAGGGTATATAGGGCTAGACCTATATTTTATAGACCGATCGGCACAAGATAGGTGCTGTGGTCAGCATCACGCCAGCCGCCTTTACTTCCCCGACTGCACCCAATACCCACTCAAGGCTGGGTCGACCTGGGAGCCGCTCCGCCACGAAGACTCGAGACCACTAAGCCCCCTATTATATGGTAACTTCATCTGCCTAGTGTATGGCAATGTGGCTAAAAGGTTAGTGAAATTGTTTCACAACACAATCCTCTGCATTAAACAGGGTTAGATTCTTCCTCTCCCCCCTTCCCTTTATAAGAATGTTTTGTGCTTTCAGACTGTGGAAGAGATAGTAGCCTGATCATGTAATATTTCCATTGTCGGCAGAATATTTTATTTTAAAAAATGCCTGTGCCTTCTCCACAATGAAGGTTGGCTACAGTGTACTACTGCTACCTTTGAGAATTCTATACTACGTGGTGAGGCCCCAATCTTTTCCATGGTGCAACTCCCATACAACTGCCCAAAAACCATGAAAACAATTTTTTAAACCAGTCCGCCATGGAACATGAACCCTACTACTCAAGGATCATGACACTGTTAATCACATTCTCTAGCCTCTAAGCCACAGAGCCGCACTTAGCAGTGGATACACTGCCACCAACCAATGTGTTACTAGTGTATGTGTGGGACGTGGGGGGGGGAGATGGTGATGATGTTGAAAAAAAATGTCATGTTTCTTGAAAGACATCTCAAGCTTTCAGAAAAAAGTATCTTTTCATTTGTACATTTTATGAATATTTATGAAGCTATGTCCTTAGAGGTCAGCTCTGTGGCTAAGTCAATGCGAACGCTTCGTAATGCCGGGATGCCGGGTTCGATCCCAGCTACAGGCCATGGGCCCTGCGCTGGTTTCGACAGTGGTATCAAGAAAGCTGACCGCCCAGAAAGCAATTGCAAACTACTGGACGTAAATTTACCTAGAAAAAGCACACAACAGCCAGGAGCTGTTGGGGTTGGTTCTGCAATGTCCTGTAAAGGATACGCAACTAACCATGTCTTTAGAGGCATTACTTTTCAAACCACTTTCGTATATGTATCTTATCTAAGCCCCCCCCCCCCCCTTCCAAATAAACACACCCACACAAACATTTAAGCAAATTACACAATAAGAAGAAGGCAAGCTACTAGAAAAAAAACAAATAGAAACAAATGACTCACTTGGTTGACCAACTGGACACAAACTCAAACTCTTCTTCAAAGAAGTCTCGCCTGTTGTTGCGAGGCTTTTCCCCATAAGCGTCAAAATCTCTCCGGTTAGATGCGGGACCACCACTTGGGGCGTCCTGGCTGATGGTCTGCATGTCTGACACAGCAGAATGGCTGATGCCCCTGTAGACAAACACTACTGATTAGTCATCATAAAGTTTTACGATTCACTTCAAGCATCTGCTATTATAATTAATTTTCCACTTATGGAAAATAAAGTTATATACAAAGACACCGTAACACTTTTCAACGTGTAAACTGTTAAGCTGAGATATTAATGCATTTCACTGCAAGAGTTTAATTTAGGGTTAATATAACATTCAAATATGTATTGTGGTAATGTTAAGCTAAGGTATTATAAAATTCAAATAATGGAACTTTTTACAATCCAATGTGTGACTGAAATCAACTGGACAATTAATGAGAGTACCCCAATCATACAATTAGAGAGGAAAGATTGAAGCTCCTTTTAATGAGGAAGAGGATGACAGACTACTAATAGTAGGAATATTATTCACAACTATCCCTGTGTGGGTTCCAGGACACATCTGGGGTGAAGTAAGTAAGTGTGTGTGTGTGCATTGTGTGAGTGAGAGAGAGAGGGGGAGAGTGGGGGAACGGGGATAGACCCACTGCTCCTCAACAAGCATGTTGTAAAATGTGTAAAAAGAGTTGCAGAAATCAGATTTATTAGACTGAAAAGCAAAGATATCATCAGTAAACAACATAACATGCCAACCGCTCTTTTATATGTAAATGATGAGGAGGAGGAGGAAGAAGAAAAGGCAGAAGCATTTTATCATCAACGAAAGTTATCCAGAACACCATGGACAAAGATCTGTGAAGAAACATATGAACACCTATGCTATCCAGTGAGGTAGATGATGATAATAACAAATTCTAACCTCTCCACCACCGACACCTCTAGCTATGTGCTCTACAGTACTTAATAAGATTGTACAAACATAAAGACATACTTGTTTCCAGTGAATCCCATTCCCAGACGCTCAAACTGCTCAGCTTTCTTGGGGTCACTCTTCATCAGCTTCTCCTCTTCCTTCTTCCTCTGCAAGCTCATGTCCTGGTAGGCCAGTCGCATGTTTGCCATCTGCTTGTTCCTGTCCTCACTGGTTTTAGCTTCCTCAACGGCTACATTCTTAGCAAATTCCTCCTTCTCCTTATCAATCTGCTGGGCTCGGCTCTCAATTTCACCAAAATCTTTCTTCACTTTTTGAGCTCCGAGGCCTTTCTGTAATACAATCACAAAAGAAAGGAAAACTCATTAGGGGACCAACAGTTCCACCATTGAATCTGCACTCACATGTGATCACATATAAGCAGAACAGCAACAACAGTAATAAAGCACAATTTTCCATTAAAGACATGGAAACAAGTTAAATACCTTCAAAAACAAATGTCTGATTATATGAACATTAAATATAATGAATTCATGATAAGTGAAGAAATAAGAGCAGTTTTTGGACAATCACTTGTATTATCAATTATGAGAGAAAGAAGGTGGCAAAATATTGGGCACCCATGATGGGGTAAGGGAGTCAACAGATACTGACATGGGAAACAAATGTATTGAAGAAACGAGGACATTCATAATAAACTCTGAGATAAACGCTGCTGACATAGGTCAAGGGCGCAGGACTGGATTTCCTCCATATCGAGGACTGCATAGGTAAGAACAGAATGCAGGACTAAACTTGAGTCCTATGTGACGTACAATGGTGCAACTAGATGATGATGATCCATTAACTAGTGCCAGTTTGACACTTCCAATGCCAGGCTTGGACAATGACACACACAAGAAGAGAATTTAAAAATTATAACTGAGATGTGATTCCTGTAGTATCTGGTGAAATATTGAGAAAGTGGATATGAGACTTGATGAGATAATATTGGGGGCCCACTGCAGGTTTCTTCCTTGGAAAGATAGAACTTGACCTGATCAATCTTCTTCTGCTGCCTTTTACTCCCAAAAAAGCACTAGTTATGAACCACTTCAGTATGTTTTGTCGACTTGCTCAAGACTGGTTGGATTTTCCAACAAAAGTGTTCAATTAAATTTGACAGCCAGTGCCACACCAAAACTCCTTGGTTACATCTTAGGACAGGCATCATAGGTTAGTGTTTCAACTCTTTGCATTCCTTAGAAGTAACACAGGTTTTATGTAGACATCTGATGTAGACATTACTAAACAGCAAACGTGAAGAAGAATGAACTTCTACTATAAATGCCCCTAACAGAACAATGCTTACTCACCCCTTTCTTTGCAGCTGTTGTCTTCTTGTTTCCGATGATGGTCTTCCTTGGCTCCGCTTGGCTCTGAGCCTGGGTGGGGGATGTGCTCAATGCAGCTTCTACATTAGGTCCAGCCGATGGATCTGACACAAATCACAATATTTAAACACATGGGTGAAATCTCTATATATAATATATAATCTTTATATAGTTGTTTTTATTTATAATGGATGCAAGAAAGATTTTCCTGCATAACATGTGCAAGAAAGATTTTTCTATACAATGTAAGAAAGATGTTCCTACATATATAATGGATATAAGACAGATTATCCTGTATAATGGATGTAAGAAAAATGTTCGTCTGCTCCAAAATATGTATGTTTCTTTCTGATGTTGTATGCTAACATTGAGGGCAAGTAAAAAGTCCAGTAAAGACATTTTGTCATGCATTAACTTATCAGGCATCTGTTGCTAGACCCATATTTCTTAAAGACTGCCACTCGACAAGTGTTGTGGTTCAATATTGTCGTCAATAACGTGCCAGCTGTCTTCAATTCCTTTGACATTTCCTGGTATTCTTATAAGTGGCAAAGTGGGCTGAGCTGGAAGCCACTAAGTCAGCAGTAATAAAATATGTGTAGAGGGCAAGGAGAAATTATACATACTTTGAAAAACTGATTGGCCAATCTACTGTGGCAAAATGAACTATATTCTATGAAAAACTGATTAGCCAATCTGAACTGTCCAAACAAGTGATCAAGACTGAATAAGGCATGTCACTGACTGTTAGAACTAATCATGCCATACCGATAACTGCATGCTGTCATGTTTCAAAATATTACACGATCACCAGAATCACAGATTGAGTCTAGTCTTCTTATCTCTCTTTTGCCATAAATATGACCAAGTAATCCAAACTGGTATACTTCAACTAGAAAGACCTGACAGCATCTATTAAGTCCCGTTCCAAGAAACTATTTTTGCTGTACACACCAGGACATGCTGAGGTGAAAGAAAACAAAAGAGCAGACAGACTGGCTATGTCTGCAGTGGTAAGTGGGGGAAGAAATATGGACATGGCAGACATTCTGAATGTGCTGTGCTCCAGAGCCAATGAGACAAATTAGTCACAGAAGATGAACTGTGTGGGAAATGGGTGTTAACATAAAGACAGGCATGCAGAAACAGGTTGTAGGGCAAAGAAAAAAGATATGCCAATCAACTCCTACTGGGTATGTTGAGCACGGAGACAGGTGGTTCCTGCAACAAAGCATGCAGCATCAATGAATGGGTCAGACTGAGGTGCTAGGATAGTGATACAGATAACAAGTAACAGGTATCCAGGCACTTATCTCTTTGCCTTCCTCCGGCTCTTTCCATCAATCTTGCCAGCAGTAACTAAGACCCTGTGTCTACGTCAAATTAGTTTAGTTTTCAACTGCCTCGAGGACTACCTTATTTAGTTTTCTATCATCCCATGATATTCTAATTCTGTTAAACTGAGTGGTGACATAGTTCCATGTTGTATTCTGCAGTATAATATCACTGACATGCAGGGTTAGAAAGATATATTTCAAATATGGATAAAACAAGCAAAATTTTAAAGTCTAGTCAAAGCTACCAGTCAACAGAAATCTGGAATCTGTTTTCAAACATGTGGAAATATTTGTCGCAAACCCTGGCTTTTCCCCTTGTCAGGATTATATTCTATATATCCTGAAACAGTGTCTTTACCTCGCTCATACCCTAGTACGGAAGTAGTTAGTTCATCTTATTAACTTACCCTTGGTTAACACATTAAAACAACAAACAAGCAAATCAAAAACTTAATTTAGTCCCTGGAAATGTGGATAACAACACTCTTTTAAAAACCTTACTGGAGGGAGATGCTGAAGGCAAGAGCAAGAGATAGTTGAACAGCAGTCTGAGGGAATGTATTACAAGAGACAGAGTGTTGTAGATCTATTGCTGCCAATCTTCAGAGACTGCAGCTCATCAATTTAACATATTAAACCCTGTAAGACTAGTTACAACATATTATGTCAGGTAATGGAGCAGCTCGGTCAAGGTTCTTACCTTACCTGCTGGGATAGTATTCAAATCTAAGCAAGGGAAATATTTTTTTTTTCCCAACCAGTATAGTTTTAGGATTTACCAAGCCTGAAAAATATGGCCTACTACTTTTAATTTCCAACTAATGAGGGATTTTTAACCGGTACACATTTTCTCCAAGTATTTTCACCATCATTTGAGAAGGCTATGTGTCCAATCCCCTACTTCGGGATCAGGGAAGAGTATAACATTCTGTGGTTCCTTACACTGAAAAAGCCCACAGAACCTATGTACAGTGTTTTAATGTGCTCAACTGATCACACTTTCCTGGAATCTAGAGTCTGAGTGACACATGCAAACAAAAATAGCACAGAGAGAACTATAGAAGTATGTTATATGAAAAAGACATGAAAGAACTACAAGATGCAGCAAATGATAAATATGATTTGGTACATAATGGCAGATCTGTAATGCCACGGTGAGGTTAAAAAGCAACAGAGAGTATGAACATGGGGAACAGCAGGGTGAACAAGTCCATTAGTGAATGTTACCTTCGATCTCCTTCCCACTGCCATTGATTGGCTTAGCTGCAGAGGTTGCAGATGATGATCCACCAAGTCTGGCATTATCTTCCATAGGATAAGTGGCAAAGTCTGCAGATGGTTCTTGCGTGTGCTCAGAGAAGAAATCAACCTCCTTGACTTCTGGCGAAGCTGGTTCATGGTGACTTTCAATGTGGATCTGGAAATGTCAGACAACAATTGCTGCACAAAGTGGAACCATTCAGTTACTTGCCATCAGACATAGATAAGAAAACTGTCTCCAACAAGCACTTAACTCTCATTGGATTAACCATGTGTACTTGGTTAACCCCTTCATGGCAATGGTCATTCGGGACAACAGAACAATTTGGTCATTCATGACAACAAAATAGTGTTACCATATTTTAAAGAAATCTATAAATGTAGTTATTTTAACTCATTTACAACCATTTACCAGTCAGGAAAAGTCTCTCACAAAATTCTATGAATGTGACTTTTTCTCTCATTGTTGTCTTATGTTAAATAGACACCTAATAGTTATTTAATGTCGCAAGCTTTGAACCTGGCAATGCAGGTTCAGATTCTTCACCCCCCCCCCCCCCCCCCCCTCCACCCACAGAAACAAAATATTCCCATAACTCTAGAGAAGATTCAAACCTGGGTGTCCTGAATGAGAGCCAAGCATTTCTGACAAACACTAGAGCATAATAAAAAAAGGTGGCTCATTTCTAAAAAATTGTCTGGCTCCCATTTTTATGAGGGTGGGATGACTCCCAGAGGTAAACTAGTTGTAATAAATTAATCCTGTCTGGGAAGTGAACCCAGATTACTTGTCTTTGTAGGTAAGTGTACTAACCACTTTGTAATCATTGCTCTGCTCACAAACAAGATATATTCTATTACTACCATCATTACTGTGGACCAGGAGAGGAAAGGGACAGTAAATCAGTGGCAACCCACGATAAACATATTAAAATAATAAAAAATGCCCACATTTGTTAACAAATAACCGTGTGATCTAAGCAATAAACATAAAAGGGCTTATATGATTAAAATTATAAAGGTTTTTTCCACAACTAGTCATATTTTCTTGCCAAAGTAGTTGCCCGGGTTAGATACTACCAGAATTATTTTAATATGCAGAAATCAAAACGTACAACTTGAAAAAAGCTCATAAAAATGTACTGTCATAGATTACAAATGCATTTTTTAATAGACATGTAAAGATAATCTTTGCTGCCGGAGTGGAGTGAAACGCTAGGCCTTCATATTTTCCAGGTAAATGAGATTTTTGAAGTCTACTTTTTTGTTTTTAAAGTGGTGGCTATAGGAAACAATCTATTTTATAACAGTATTATTATTACACAATATGAGCAAATTACAAAGATTATTACTGCTGTAAAAACAAATATAAGAGAAAACTAGAGAAAAACAATGTACATTTTAACAGTAAAAGAAACTATTACAGTATAACAGAAACGCATTTTAAATAAAACATCAAGAAAAAATATTGTAAAAGTATATAATACTTTCAAAAAGATATTAAAATAAACAAACAGGCAACAATGATGAATTTAGCACATTTTTCTTTCCACAAAAATTAGTAAAAATTAAACTAATGAAATGTTAATAGCACCAACTAATCAACAGTTACAAGCAGCTTCACTTTTGATTAGAAATGCGGATCAACATATACTTTGTTATCTGAACAAATTGCCAGTTCTACAGCTATAACATATGTAGTATCTTCTTCTTTTTCTTAGTATTCAATGGCTGTAAACTTGGAAGAAAAGTTCAGGTTTTGTGTCCATTTCTGGACATCTTGTTCCAGAGAGTTGTGTTCAAATCCATTTTACAGATCTATCAGTTTTTCATCTCTCAGGCTGATTCACAGTCAAACATGGAAGGAAATACCCCTAATTAGTCGCTTTATAAGACATGCTTGTTAGGGGACAATGTATTCCCCCACCCACATCAACAAATAGGAACCTGGAAACCCACATGGGGAATATGTAGTACAAAATTACGTTGTCTGAGCAAACTTGCCAATTTACAACACCAACATGTAGAAAGTATTTATTTTTGTTTTAAACCGTTGGACAGTTATGGTTGTTCATCCACTTCTAGACTTTGGTCTTGCTGCAGGAGTTTCCCCCTCACATCTGTTTCAGAGATCTGGCATCTGGTATGCAGACTGTTTATTACCTTAAAGACAAATGTACTCCAACTTCGAAGGAAACACCCCTAATTAGTCGACTTTTATGACACGGTAGTTAGGGAAGCAGTAGGTCATTTTCCCCCTAAAATTGGGCCCCGGAACCCACACGGGATAAAACCAATGTTTCAAAATATGAGGAAATTAAACAAAAAACCAAGTGCACGACTAGACCCTAAAGATGACCCAAAAAAAAATTTATCAAACCACACAAGTTTGCATTTAAATGCACACACCTGATAGATACAAGCATACAATATGTACAATGTGATTATTTTTAATACCCACAAGATTTCATCAATACAATATGCCAAAGATGGACTAATAAAGCTGTATTTGTGTACTTGTGGGGTTAAATATTTCTGACTGGCAACAAACCATAAAATCAGTGTTGCTTATATTATGTTTAACTGGCTCAGATGTTTAAACTTTTCAGGTACATCATTCTATCTTTCTCCCCCTCTTTTACCAAGTGTCCCCCCTCCCCCTCAACATAATGCTTCATATGTCTTTTCTACCTCTTACATTTATGTGCTCCATAAATTTCATTTGTCTTCTCTTTGTGGTTTTAATGAATTCAGCGTCCGATTCTTCCTCGTAGCATTTATTGGTTATAAACCCCAGCGGAGATATTTTTGTTGTTTTTCCATCTCTAGACTGGTGTCGCTCCAGTACTTTGAGTTAGCATGCTGAGACGTTTACAGATCTGGCTTATTTGAATGCAGGCTGGTGGTTCCTCGCTTTTCCAGCCGATGCTCTCCTAATTTAAGGAAAAATTCCTTAAACACCCTTTTTGACAAGCTTGAAGGTAGGGCAGTGAGTGTATTATCCCCCTCCCCACCACCCCAAGGGGTTCCAAAACCCCCAAGATGAAATGTACGGTTCAATTACTGTATGAACCCTATCTTATTCAATCATTATTTGAACTCCTTCTGTCTCTCAGTGGTTGTTAGTGGCTTTAAACTGATTCGTTATTTATTTAACAGTAAAAACTGCAAGGCAGATGACAAAAGAAAAAAAAAAAATTATAACTGCTTCATACAAAGGAAATGAATGAATTGATCTGTCATGGTTATGTGAGAAAGCTGTTCAGTTAAATCTTGCAGCTAAAAATGGTTGATATTTCAAGAAGAATTTGTTTGTGTGTTCGCCCATTTTGTGTTTTACACTAGGCTGTGATATCTGTGCCTTTCAGCCCAACACATCTGATTTCAGCAAAACCATTTTATGGCATGCCTGTTAAGAGGGGCAGTGGATCTCTTATTTTTCTTTCAAAATCACGTTCCAGGGCCCACTGTAAGAAACTGAAAGAAAAGATTTAACCCAAAGGTACATGTATAGGTATCAATCCTTATTGGGAGCAAAAAATGATGCTGCACCCACTTACAGGCATAAAGTTTTTCCATGATACACAGTGATATGTATAATAAATATTCAGCTTTAAAAAAAATAACAGGTCTGAGATAAAATTTCTCATATAATCTCAGAGAGAGCTACTTTTTTAAGTGCATTACATTTTTATAGATTGTTAATACTTTGCGCAGAAAATAACACATAAATGAAAGAATGCAAACTATAGAAGCAATGCCCAAGTTCTGACCTTCTTCCCTTTCTCATGTTCATCAAGAAACAGCTGTAATGACAGGCACCATACAATTAATCTAGTGATCATGCTGTTAAATCACACATTAAACTTTCTATAAAGACAATGCAATGCACAATTTACTGCCTAGCATGTTTCACTATATCTTGTGCATTACTGTAACATATAATAAAGCACATAACATGAATCCATCAAAATGTCTAGTGACCACTAGAAATTCAAGCTCAGACACATATATTTACATCCGGATAATGTTAATTAATATCAGGAAAACACTTTTTTTTTAAATATCTATATATAATTGTTGTTTTTTTGTGTTTTTTTTTTGTAGTTAAATAAATTTTTAAAAATATATAAGTGGACTGTGTCAAATGGTTGTTTTTAAAAGCGTTTTTTTCCCCTGAAATTCCAATGTTCCTGTCTTGTCTTTTTTTTTTAAACACTTCCAGTGTGAAAAGATTGAGCTTTACATATCCATGTTTCTTTTGTCTTCATCTGCCTCTCTTGAACAATATTTTCCCCACAGGATCTAGTTTTCTATATTCAACCTTTTCAGTTGGTATGGTCCCATAACCTTATCGTTTTCATTCGTGTCCCCCTATTCTAGCGCCAAGACTCCAACACGCGTTTTATATTTTGTCCATAATATTCTCCACATTCTTCTCTACAACCACATCCTGGAAGCCTCTAGTTCTTTATAATTTTATTAGTCACTGCATACCACTCATATTGAAACAAAAAACCAGATCACATACACAATACAATGTCTAGACTTTACAAACCAAATCTCTTTACTAGAGGGCTTCAAATTAATACCTTAAAAATGTATCACCACACTGTATCTTCATTGACCAATGAAGGTCTACTAGTTTTACCTTTTCACTAATAAAAAGAAATGTACAACAGAAAGCTGCTCCTCTTTCGTGCACGTCAAAGGTGAGACGACAATCTTTAAACTATCATTATGTCATCACCGTTTCACCTGCACCATGATGTCACGTGCTCAATATTCTTAATATTCTAAACAATACTGGCAGGTTACAAGACAACAGCTATTGAAATTTAAATCCCACCTTTAAGGTTTTCATTTGAAGCCCCTCCTCATACATACATAAGCACACCCACAACATATTAACCCGTTTCAAATCAACCATGTAACTTTCAATAAGGACACATTTTTGTTACATCATAAATTATTTATAAAATAGTGCAATGACAAGAAACACAAACACAAGATGCACAAATACAATAAGCGATACCTTAGCTCCATGTTGTCTCATTGCATGCTGGGCCAGGGACACCAGCTTATCTCTGTATAAAGTTGCTGCCCGACTGTGGTATTTTTTCTGGGCATCATTCGAGGTACAGCCATGCTGCTGGAAGAATAATCTCTGCAAAAAATAATCCAAACTGGTTTCAATAATGTTGCTCATCTCATCAAGTGTCGTGTCAACTGGCAGGGGGGCAACCATGCCTATCCGCACCTCGTGATCTTCATGATGTGAAAAACTATCAATCAAATTAGTGTGTTTCACAATACCACAATTATGGGTAAAATGAATGCAGGGGTTAAAAAGCCTTCATCTGCATATCAAACAAATGGTTAATGGTGAAGCTGGGTGAATCTGAAAGACAAAGAAGAGAAAAGGACATGTGCACACATACACTGTCCTGGCTTGACAGCTAAAGATCTAAGAAAGCAGTAACTACAAGTTAAAAACACATGAAATTCCACTACCCCTGTGATCTCTAACAGCATGTCTTAATTTTTTTTATGGCAAACAATGACAAAAGGCTGTCAAGGAGCTATTTTCACTGCCTTACTCTATTATTTTCCATTTGCTCTCCCAAGATGAAAGGCGGGGGAGGGGGTCAATAGACTTAACACGTGTTTTAAGTTCACTGTAACATTATTATTATGTGCTGAATGGCAACTGAATGTAATACAATTTTTGGAATGGTAAATGTATGAAGAAGTACATAATAGGAGAACATATAAATATATTTTAGAAGTGAGTAGGTGCTCAGCCAAACCTCACAAAAAAATGTGAATTGGGGCTTACGTAGCCTGCATTCCCCAGTTCCTGCACCCCCAAATGTGGCATGAGTTGGCCTGGCAGTCTCCAAAATAATTTACAAATAAGTTTTTAACAAAAAAATTAACATTGCAGTTGCATCATTTTATTTCATTTGAGCAGCTTTGACTTTATACGCCTTTATGCTACTTCAAATGTCCATATTTTGGTGTTTCTACTGTTGTTGTTTTTTTTTACCTGTTTAAGTTTGCCACATATATCTTTAAAATTGAACAGGTGAGGAGATACAAGAAGCAAAAGAAGAAGAATGAACCAAAACAAAACTGGTGTTGTCGGTCACTAACTACATACTGCTAGATTTAGTGAGTACGGAATTTCAGCACTTACAAACTGACTGGTTCGCGTGTAATAAAGATGATTTGACAACTAACAAACGAACATGTATGTTTTCATCTTGCCTGAAGCAGACAGAATTAGAAGCTCACAGAAGAAAAGACATAGTGTGTGCTGCAAACTTTTTCTTAAAAGAAAGAATAAAAAGAAATTAAAGAAATAGAACTTTCTGAGTGCCAAATACTCACCGCATTGGCATTTCCTCCGACCTGCATAGCTCGGAGTTGTAACCATGTCCAGTTTGTGTCCAACTGTGTTGACCGGATAAACGTGACATGCACTCCAAGAGACCGGTGCACAGCGGAGCAGTCGATGCACAGAAAGACTCCATATGTTACACTTGCCCATGTGGGATTATTATGTCCACAATCAAAGCATTGCTGGCAAATTTTGTGAAATAGAATTATAAAGAACATGTTCAAAACAGTTTTTGGAAATTTGCAAAGTAAGAAACTAGGGTTAGGATTAAACTTAAGAAAACAAAAATTATGGTTATATCCAAGACATAAATATTTCAAGTAAGTATAAAAATTCTTAAAACAAGTGAACCGTAACATCTATCATAGGACAGTCATAACATCTGACAGAAAGTGATAGAGATTAGAATAAAAATGGCCATTATCGCAAGTAACCATTTTGCAAGACATTCTCATCAATAAAATGATAATGTCAGAGAGAAAAAAAAAGTTAGTGCTCCACAGAACCTGCAAAACGAGAAATAGGCACTGAAATGCGATAGCTTTGGCTTTCTTTTTCTTCTCTTACTCCAGTTACCGGAGTGTTTGGAAGGCATGAAATGCTTTTCTTATGTGTTCTTTCGAATGAATGAGTTTTTTCTTGATGCCGCTGTTCCAAATTTGCATGGTCTTCCTCTTGCTCTGTGTTTATTATATTTCTTTAGTATAGCTCTGTGGTGGCACTATTGTTGTTTATATATGTGTGGACACACAGACATATAAGCAGACAGACTGAGGCACATCTAATGAAAGTATAAAATTGGTTTCTCAGGGAAATACAAAAAATACCATAAAGAGACCCCGCCCCCCCTCCAAAAAATAGTCTTCTAATACACTGATTAAAAGATAAATTATTCTGTACATTTTCTTCAACCTCAACGCCATGGTACTCATTAACACAAATAGCTGGTTTCTTTAACGCATCAGTCATCAGCATCATCATAGTGCCATAACAGAGTCTTGTTGGTCATCAGTTGCTGTTGATTGTCTAATCAGTTCCTGTGACCTCAGTTGGTGATATACAATAAATTTAATGTCTGCATGTCCTGGGCCCGTCTAATCAAATTCTGCATCCAGGTCTTTCTTGGTCTACCTCTTCGTCTCTACTAAGCCCTATGGTACAGTTCTATATGTCCGTAACATTGATTTTCTATCTTTAAACTGTTGTTAAAAGAGTTTCCTAGTGCAAAACTTCTCGTACCAGCAAGTATACTTCTTTGACCTACAAGATAGTGTTATTTTAATGCTTAAATAAGAATTATGTCATTCGATGCCATAACTGTTTTAGAAAATGATAGATCTTTCATAAAGGTGGCTGTGCATTAAAGTACACTAATTCCATTCCAGCATTTCAGATGCTGTTGTCATACAGGAGGTGTCTGAATCCTGGCAGTGTCTTATCCTTTGCTTCTCATTTGCATTCTACACAACTGAATTTATTAATCATTCTTCTTCTTCTTCTTTCATTCACTTAAAATAAATTATCTACATCTGCAATGTAGTCTCTAGTATGAACTTCACTGTCACTTCCTACCTTCCTTCCCTCTCTCCCTCTATCTCCTATCTATCTAATGGTCAAAGCAGGACTTTTTTTCTGGCAGTATACAACAGTGTCACTTTCTTTAAGACATTATTTCTTGTCAGGGCTACTTTAACAGACAGTCTGCTGCTGTGTACACCATAAGCTTTTTAGTTACATTTTAGTGAGCACCAGCACCTTGCTGTCTAGAAGAAAAGCCCTGACAGTTCTGATTCTTGTGTGGTGGTGAGGAACAGATTATGATCTACTGCTCAATGTGTAGCACTGGCTGTTGTCATACCCTGTAGATTTTAATGGCATGTGGTGTGGTCTGTGGACGAGCTGTAATGTATGATGTCTTCTGAAGACTCTTCCTCAGATAATATGAGAGAACCTAATGCTCCACTCTAAAACATTCTGAAATGCTGTAGTAGTAACAGGGCACTGAATCGAGCTGTAGTCCCTGGATTTACAACCTAACAACCGACTTTAATACTAGTACATTCTAACAGTAGCGATTTCGTTGTTATGGAATGTAAACAATTAAACCGGAAATGGATTTGCTTGGTAACCCAAGGGACTTCCTGTCCCTGAATTTTAAGGGTTTCCATACTAGTCACTATAAAAACCCGAGTTACTCAATACTGGCTGTTCAGAAACGAATCCGAACACGCGCGATACCTGTAGCAGATGTCAGACTGCTGAATAGCATGTGTTTTTTAGAAAAGACGTTTACTCACTAAAAAGTATTTTGTAATTTGGATTAGGGCTAGTAAATTCTTTAATATCTTTTTTTTTAGGCTTTCCATAATCTCCATTGTGGTAATATTGAACTCTGCGTCCATTTTTACATACAGATGTAAAATTTCAGTTAGATATGTTCTTTAATAGTTTCAGAATTAAATTGTTTCTGCATCCAGTCTTGTAAAATTTAGTTGAATTAGTTAGGTTAAAACAAAATGGCGGACGGCGTGAATACAAAAGCGTGTCTGTTATATATTGACAATGCTTATAATAGGAGCAAATTAATGTTCAGATAATACAATTTTAAGTTGAAATAGTAATTTATCTTTGTATGTTTATTACTTTTTCTAAATTTTATTAGCTTACAAAATGATAATGATCAGTTTTCTGACACACCCTAATGGCTGAATAATTTCTTCAGATTTTTGCTTGGAAACTGAACACAGATTATTAATATTTTTTCTTTGAGGCTGTCCATCATCTCTATTGTGGTATCATTAAACTCAGCGTCCATTTTTACATCCAGGTGTAAAATTTCAGTTAGATATGTTCTTTAATAGTTTCAGAATTAAATTTTTTCTGCATCCAGTCTTGTAAAATTTAGTTGAATTAGTTAGGTTAAAACAAAATGGCGGACGGCGTGAATACAAAAAACGTGTCTGTTATATATTGACAATGCTTATAATAGGAGCAAATTAATGTTCAGATAATGCAATTTTAAGTTAAAATAGTAATTTATCTTTGTAGTTTTATTACTTTTACTAAATTTAATTAGCTGAATATATTATTTTGATGATTTTCTGACACGCTAGAAAATGGCTAAATAATTTTTTCAGGTTTTTGCTTTGCAAATGAACAGACAGTGCACTCACTAATCAAACAAAATAATGAAATTCACTGAATGCCATCGTGCTAATGTTGTATTTTTTTTAATCTACAACCTTTTTAACTTTTTCTAATGCATAAATTATAATTTAATATGAGTAATTTGTTTTTGTATGTATTTTTTATCTTTTGACCCTCACATACAGAATTTCACGCAACATGCCTGGACTTCTTGATATTGCGTATAATTATAACAATCATAACTATTTTATGTTTTATTAATTTTTTATATAAATAAAATAATAATATTACAAAAACTATTTCATTATAATATAATATTTAATATATGTATATAAATATTTATAATATTATTAGTCTTTTATTTAACATTGTTTCTGTTTAACTTGATTTTTAGATTTTGATCGAGCAGTCACAATGACAGTGGCAAAAAGGACAGCAGCATATCTTAGATCACATCTGTCAGTCTTTGAGATAATATTTACTGGCCAGCAAAAAGATCACATGAGTCATAGATACGCTAATAAAGTAGAATGTACTTTCGACTCTTACCTTATGAAACGCTGCTCCGTGAAAACACAACATAAATCCAAAGTGAATCACAAAGGAACTTATTTAATACTAAGCACTGAATCACAAATCGGGTATGAGTGAATACTTTAGATTATTTTGAAAAAGTAAATAAAGTATTAAGTAGCGACTGGTTAAGAAGAGGGGGACACTGTGGTGAAATGCGCTCATCATCAATGAAATGAAAGAATAACTCGCAAAGACTGAAAAAAGGATTATGTTAAACCAGTAAGAAGGGTGCATATTTTCACTTCGTTATCAAACAATATGGGGGTCTCCGTAGCAAAGTGGTCAAGCCGTTAACCTCGCGCTTGGAAGGTTACGGTGTGTCCATTTTACAACTGCATTGTTCGACTAAAAAATTTTGGGTTAGCGGGGACCTCTGAGGACTGTTGCTGGAGCTACGGTATTCAGGCTTCGTGCTAAGCTCTCGGCATGCGACTAACCATTCACGGTTATGTGAAGAAAGACCAAGCCATATGAAACCAGTAACGATGCAATGACGTCAATCCGCTCGCTATCAAACATTTTTTAACAGTGGAGTAATAAAGCAAAGCCAATTTCGGCCAGATGTGCACACACACACACAAAAGTGACAGTGCAAGAAAAAGCATTTTTTAACAAATAGAAAGAGATACATCATAACACAGAGAATCGTTACAAAAGTATGCATATTACAGTATACGTTTTGCAAGACTAACTGGATAATAATAATTCATAAGGTATTTAATTAATAATACTGATAATTTGACCCATTTTTCTTTGTTAATTAGATTTGCATTACATTATATTTTTTAAAAACCAACAACTTTAGTTAGAGCTTGCTGCCCTGAATGCAATGATATATGGTTGCTAAGGGGTTCAGCAAAAAACATAAGACGTGTAGACATAAAACATACAAATTTTGTCACTTTAAGTCCAGTTTTCACTTGGGAACAGGCCGCCATCTTGTTTCTGTGTTTTCCATTATAATTTTTGGGAGCACTTTCCGTCACTAAAATGTGAATATCTCCGCTTAGAACTGACATACAGACTTCATTGAGGTACCGTTGAACTCTGTTTTTTAACCTCTAAGCAGCTATCATGGTTTAAAAGCAAAAGGCCCAAAAAATAAATTTTGACTAAACACCCTACTAACAGTGCTTTAAATGTGAATTTATCATATCAAACAAATTTAAAACTAAGTTTACTTAACATCCGCTAACCAAACTTAAACTACGTCATTACATACGAGGACATCAGGCAAAACATTCACGGAGAACTTTCTTTCCACCATCAAACAATGGTGCCATGTAGCTAAAGTAACCAGTTACGTAAAGGCAGAATCCACAATCTAACGTCAACACACGACTCCTCCCGATATGTCCTGTCGACTGCCACCGCCAGTGACCAGTCAGTCAGTAACAGTTACCAAGAAACCTGATCATATGAACCTCGATACAAACCATTCCAGTGTCTTGGACTAAAGCAGCATTACATTATATCCTACAATTTATGACACCTTATCATAAGAACATCTATGAAACCTTTAATGTACAAGTTACCTTATTGGTGGGAACAGATAATAATCGACGAAATATTTGTTTGATATCGTTCTCTGCCGGGTGCTCTGCCATGATGATGACGTTTCCTTGTTAGGTCACATGACCGGGGATGTAGGTTCGGGCTTACAGCTCTACCAGCTTTCATTGGTCAATTTTCTCCAGATTGTCTTCTATCTATCTATCTATCTATCTATCTATCTATCTATCTATCTATCTATCTATCTATCTATCTATCTATCTATCTATCTATCTATCTATCTATCTATCTATCTATCTATCTATCATGGCCGAATCTATTTTATAAATAGCTCCAGAAGGGCGTGCCATCTATCTATATCAAAAAAAGGTTGTTGCGTATCCTTTACAGGACGTTGCAGAACCAACCCTAACAGCCCCTGGCTGTTGTGTGGTTTCTCTAGGCAAATTACGTCCAGTAGTTTGCCATTGCCCTCTGGACGGTCGGCTTTCTTGATACCACTGTCGAAACCAACGCAAGGCGCATTGCCCGCAGCTGGGATTGAACCCGGTATCCCGGCATTACGAAGCGAAGTGTTCGCATCGACTTAGCCACAGAGCCGACATCTATCTATATATCTATATATATTGTAAGAGTCGGCGTGTGCGCATGCATTTAGTGATTTACCATCCAAGCATTTATGTTTTTTTCCTTTACATTCATATTTTACATATTGTTATATGAACAAAGCAAGCTTTTTTTTCATAAAATACAAGTGCTGTGTGAAAGATTAGTGTTTGAAAGGGCTGAATCTAAGACGGGCCTGCGTGCTTAACTTGTGATCCTTTTAAAATAATGTTATGTATATTTCTGTCTGTGCATCTTTCTATCTATATATTTATCTGCCCATCTATACATCTCCCTGTATGTTAATCTTAGTTAGTTAGTTAGTTAGTTAGTTAGTTAGTTAGTTAGTTAGTTAGTTAGTTAGTTAGTTAGTTAGTTAGTTAGTTAGTTAGTTAGTTAGTTAGTTATTTAGTTAGTTAGTTAGTTGGGTTATCATCATTGCACTCCGGACATGTCCATAGGTGCTCAGACCCTCCCCTCAGTATAATCCCCAACGTCTGATGGCTAATAGTACCAGTTCTATGTTGATTAACAAGTCTTCTGGTGTGGGTCTCGTTTTTTGCTGTGCCGATCTTAATTCCCAAGTCTGCCATTCTGGCGAGTGATGTGGATTCACTACCATCAAAGTCCTCTATTCTTCCCATTTCTCTGAGGGCGTTGATAATAGCAGCATGATCCATAGGCTGACCGTCGGTAGTGATAGCGGATCCAGCCAACCTGTCAGCTCTTTCATTCCGATTGACGCCTGCGTGTCCCGGGACAACAATAAAGGTGACTCCACGCACAGTGGACTTCTGAATTGATTCAAGCCATTGTCTTCGCACTGAACCTGCCTGAACCCTCCAGATCATACTCATTGAATCACTGAGTATACATATGCGGGTGTATTTTTGTGTTTCAAGCCAGGCAAACGCTTGCGTCACTGCCATCACCTCCATCGTCATGCTGCTGGTTGTCATGGAGAAGGCGCCGTTGGCTTCTTTGACTGTTCTGTCCGCTGAGCGTGCTGTAAATGCCCATGCGCTTCTTCTTTGGCGTATAACGGATCCGTCTGTATAGATTAGTGCATCTGCGGATTTTATGTGCTAGTGTGCTTGTATATATACACCTGCACGACCCTTATGGGTTAAGTTATGTTTGTCTAACTAATCTACATATCTGTACAGCTACCCGTCTATGTATCTTACTCTCTGTCTTTATTTGTCTTTATGTATGTGTCTGTCTCTGTCTGGCCGCTTGTCTGTTTGTCTAATTCTTTTTGTGGGTCTGTCTTTGGCTAGCTGTCTCTGTCTGGCTGGGTGGCTAGTTGCCTTATTTCTCTCTCACATTCACACACACACACACACACACACACACACACACACACACGAAAACACACACACATTCAGCTTACTTGTCGTCGATATAGCTGTTGGTCGCCACGTGTAGTAAAGCAGTTCTTGGACAGACATCACAATCGCCATTGAGTTCATTGCCGACTGGGGTGGGTTATCGTGTTTACTCATATCTTGTCGTCTCCATACAGAAGCACTGACAGAATAAAACATTATGGGAGGGGGGGGGGTGTTTCTCATACAAATTATACATGTTGGGAGGCCTAGACTTTCTTATAATAATAATAATTATAATAATCATGTGTTGAAAAACGATAAAATATAATAGTACAGTGGTGCTGTGATATACCTTTGTTTCTGGTATGTTCAACTTGGTATACGTGCTGTTTAGACGCGAGAACAGTTGTTTGGTATTCAACTTTTGTTTGGAATACCATTTTGTATACGTCAAAATTAGCCAAGACATCGTAGGCTATCTTTGTTCTCCTCTCTCGGGAAAAGCCACGGATAGATGTCAACAACTTTGCAGTTAGCATCACCCCAGCGAAACTCAAATAAGCCGTAATAGCCTTGTCTGAAATGACCAGACAATGTAAAATTTACGAACATTCTAAGGAGAATGTAGAAGCAAAGTTCTTTGGACAAATTTCAAGTAAAAGTTCAGTCTGATAAGCCTCAACCAGTGCAAAGTAGAGAAAATAGATGGAGAGGATAAGCTTAGTTGCGTATCCTTTACAGGACGTTGCAGAGCCACCCCAATAGCCCCTGGCTGTAGTGTGGTTTTTCTAGCCAAATTTACGTCCAGTAGTTTGTCATTGCGTTCTGGACGGTCTGCTTTCTTGATACCCCTGTCGAAACCAACGCAAGGTAAATCGAACCCAGCATCCCGGTATTACGAAGCGTTCGCATCGAATTAGCCACAGAGCCGGCATATGGAAAAGTGACATAGTAATAATACAAGAATTTCAGATTCCTAAAGCTTTACTGGTAGGAGACTCTCCTTCCGAACAATAAAATCTCCTCCTCTTTTTTCAGTAGTAACCCAGTAGGCACTCAACTCTTCCCCGGAATGTAAAGTGAAATTGTCTTTATTTCATAATTGTTTTATTTATTTTTATTTTTTTAATTTATGAATTTTAGTATAATGCAGTAAATAAATTACTGAAGTTGAAAGGAGAGCCAAATTACTTAATGCAACCCGATCAACGAACGTGTAATCTGCTAAATAACAATAGGATTATTTTTTCATGGAGACGGAACAACTAACTATTCTCCCTTTATTTCTTATGGAAACATTATTTTGAAACACATACTGCTATGTGTACGTAAAAGGATCAGAAACAGATTAAGTACGTATACTGGGGTAACACAAAATATTTAAAACAATGTGCTATGTATAAACACAAATTTATAAAGAGCACTTCTATACATGGCTGGCGAGGGGGTAGGTTTAGTCTTCTATAATATTTCAAGGTCGGAGTTTCAGGGTGTTTAACCCTTCAGCTTTAAGCACCCATCTTCAAAAGCGAATATCAACTCATGTGCGGATACCCTTTCCCACTCTGGGAAGAGATTTTAACAAAGCCCTTCCTGTCTTCTTCGATCTCTCTTTCTACAAATTATCTAAGTTGTCGCATCATGTTTTTATTGTACTATTAGAACATGAGTAAATATATCGATTGTCTCTTTCTGTTAGTGATAGGTTGTCTGCGTGCCTTACCAATTTTAGAAAACATTTACATTGCTTTAGTTCAATTCCCCCCCCCCCCCTCCCCTTTTCCACCACTCGCTTTCCCTTTTAAATAATTTTTTTTTTCTTCTTTACCTGAAATGACTTGTAGTGTAATTTTGTCCTAGGATGTCTTGATTTATATTATTAATTTTTGTTTACCATTCAATCTTCAGTAGTCTTTTTTGTAAACGTACATCTCCAAGACTTGGTTTTAAATCCACTTTCGTCCTTTTAAGGACGAAATTTGTCTTCTTCTTTCCGTTCACCAGCTGTACACTCTGGCGGAAAGTTCTGGTTGCTCGTCCATTACTGAACTGCAGTCCTGCTCCAGAACCTAGTGTTGCGTGTGCATCAGTTTTACAGATCGCATTCTCTTGAATACAGACTGTTGGTTCCTTGCCTCTCCGGCAGATGCACTCCGACTTCAAAGGAAGCTCCCCAATTAGTCGACTCTTACGACATGCTTTTGGGGAGGCAGTGGGTTTATTCTTGTTTTCCCCACAATGGGGCCCCGGAACCCACACGGGGGCGAAATTTTTTTGTTATTTGAAGCCCCACCCTGGCTGTTGCCAGGGGCCGCAATATAGGCAGGCCATAAATATGGCCAATTGTCTGAACGCGGTTTCTGGGACCTCTCCACGGCGATCCTCATCCACATGGTAGCACTTTGTGTCATCAGGTGTTTATCGCTTGTGTGATGTCCTGGTGGGGTAAAAAGTCAGTCAGACCTGATTTTTTTTTAAATGTTTTTTCTTGTTTACTAAAAATTACATCAGCCGTCTTTACTTCCCTAAATATTTCACGATACCCGACGAGAAAAGTTTAAAGGAATGTTTAATTAAGAATTGACATCGCAGCACTTTGGCCACTCCCATATGTACTCCGTCCCCATTTTCAGCGGCAAGCGAAGAGTTCCAATTCCGATTGCACCAGTTCGTTACTTCAAAAATTTCCGCTTCAGTGGGTATTCGTATATATGCGCATCGTACGGGCGGACAGGCTTGCAAGCGCTCGTCTCTGTAAGTGTATATAGTGTATATGTACCTACGCGAGCGCATACACATAATTAATTTAATGTGAGGTAAGAACCAACATCACAGCACTTAGGACATTCCCATTAGCGCTCCGTTCACATCTTCAACAGCCAGCAAAGAAGCCCATTGCTGATGGTGCCAGAAGCAGTCTGTATGACTGTTAAACCTTTTCCCTGCATGTCGGCAAAATCCCATGGTCACTCCGTGCTGCACCATTTTCATCAGACGTGATGATCTATTTGTGCCCTCGCACTGTTCACTCGCTTCCAGAGGACCTTTGACCACACTTAGCTTGTCATGCATCAGTTTTACCACCACTTTGTTCAAAATCAGCTTGTCTGTCTGTCTATCTATATACTTCCCAACACAAATGCTTGTCCTGGAGGAAA